AGAAATTTTTCAATCAGTACAAAAATCCTAGGATGAATTTAAACAAAAATAAAAAGGCACCAAACATGTTGGCTATGACAATGTGTGCTTAAAAAAATCAAAATGTCCTGATGGGGGTTGGCCGAGTGGCGCGTTGGTTAAGAGCTGGCTTGGGACACCAGAGGGCCCCAGTTCGGATCCCACATATGAGGGCCAGTGACACTGCCCTCTACAGCTAAGATGCTGAACAACAGCTCAACCTGGAGCTGGGCTGCCATGAGTCGCCAGCCATGTAGGCAGCAGCCCCTGCTGCAGTGGGTTGCCATGGGATACCGTGTGTAGCCAGCAGCCTGCATCAGCAGCCGTCCAGAAGCCCGTGACTGATCGGCCTCGCCCGGGAAGAGCGCAATGATGGTGCCAACGTGGGCCAGTGAAGCAACGTCCTCCACAACTAGACTGAAGAACAAAACGACAGCAACTTGTCTGTTCCCATCCCCCAATCCCCCAATAAAAATCTTAAAAAAAAAAGTCCTGATGGGACACAGGTCTTCAACCAAGACAGTATTTAAGACATCTTCCTGAAAAAAATACTCTGCTGTCATCAGTTTGCAGACAGAGAGCCATGTTTCGTCCTAACCCACAAGGGCTAAATCACTAATGAGAAACAAACTGCAGGAATGGAATTCCACCAAGTGACCCCATACACAACAGGAGGCTATGGTCTTGCTTTGATAATATACCTTAGAAAGATACTCATTTCTAAGGACTTGCTGGACACATTTAGTCTACTTAGAAGGAATGCCTGGCTAGGAATGTGAAGAACAAGTGCCAGGAAAGAAAATGCGAAAAATTGATAAACAATGTATCTGTTTTCTCCCCCAAGAATTTTTGGTTTGTGAACCCCAATTGGGAAAAAAATATTATAAAATTCTCTTTTGCATTGATAAGCAGAATATGTATATTCATCTGCCTGTTTTCTGTTCTCATTGAATAATTCTTTTTAAATCTCATAGCAGAATATCTACAGTATCAGGTGTGGTTTATTCCTGTAACTACTAAGAACAAGCCACATAAGAATAAGAGTTATTTTTTTGTTTTTGTTTTTAATGCCTCCTAGGGGCACTACCATTGACATCTAATTAATTTTTGGTCTAGAGGTGAGCTGTTCATGTGGCTAGGAAGGCTTGAAGTATGGCTAGTCTGTATTGAGATGTGCTGTAAGTATATAATACACTCTAAATTTCAAAGACTTAGTATGAAGAATGAATATATCTCATTAATAATTTTTTATTACATATTACAATGGCATTTTGGATATAATGGGTTAAACAAAATATTGTCAAAAGTAATTTTATCTGTTTCTTATTACCTTTTTAAATGTGACAAACTTTAGAAAATTTAAAATTACATATGTGGCTTGCATTATACCATAGTCCTCCTTTATCTGCAGTTTCACTTTCCACGGTTTCACTTGCCCATGGTCAATCAACATTAAAAATATTAAATGGAAAATTCCAGAAATAAACAATTCCAAAGTTTTAAATTGTGTGCTGTTCTGAGTACCTCACTTCATCTCATCATGTAGGCATTGTATCATTTCATATCATCATCAGAAAAGGGCAAGTACAGTAAGATATTGAGAGACTACATTCACACAACTTTTACTACAGTGTGTTATCACTGTTCTATTTTATTAATGATTGTTGTTAATCGCTTACTGTGCCTAACTTATAAATTAAACCTTATCATAGGTATGTATGTATAGGAAAAAATAGTGTATATATATATATATATATGGTGCAGTACTATGTGCGATTTCAGGCGTCCACTGGGGGTCTGGGAACATATCCCCTGTGGTCAGGAGGAACTACTGTATTCCCACTGGACAGTACTAGTCTAGCAGTACTGATTCTCAATTGTAGTTGTTCATCAGAATTATCAGAGGAGCTTTTTCAAAAAGCGGTCCCCTGTACTTTGGTTCAAAATAAATCAGAATCTTAGGAGTCAGGACCCCAATATGTGTATTTCTACAACACTTCCTAGATAATTCTGAGAATCATTAATCTAGAGGTCAATGGACATAATCGTGTCCTTGAGCCTTACAAGACTGGGAATGGAATGGGCACTGGAAGATATTCTACAGAAATAAGTTACAGGAGACTAAGAAACAATATGCTTATTGCCTGCTTATTCAAAACAGTAAAACTGGAAAAGAATAAAAGTGCTGGAGTTAGAAAAAAAAGTTGAAACTTGGCTCAAAACTAGCTAAAACTAAAAGACCCTATAATTCTTTTGTATGGTGAGTAGGCCTATTATATAATAAAGAATTTGTGGCCTTTGTCCCTGGTTCCTGTGAGAGAAGAGAGGGAGACTCTAAATCCTTGGAATTTCTCAAGTAATAGAAGTGTCTTCATTATTCATGAGCCCCTCGGATCACACCCGAACTTATGCCAAGGTGAGCTATCTTGGGACAGGGCCTGCTCCCTAGAAAGACCAACCGTGTGACTAGAAGGTTGGGGGCTTTCAGTCAGCTGGACCTCTGGGGAGGGTAAAGGGGCTAGAGATTGAGTTTAATCATGTGACCAATGATTCAATCACGCTGTTGCAATGAAACCCTGATAAACATTCTGGACACTGAAGCTCAGTGGAACTTCTTGGTTGGTGAACATATTGATATGATGGAAGGATGACATGCCCTGATTCCCCAGGGAAAGAACAGAGAAGCTCTGTGTTCAGGACCTACCCAGACCGTACTCTGTGTGTCTCTTCATTTGGCTGGTCCTGATCTGTATCCTTTGTAATAAAACTGTGATCATAAGTATAGTGCTTTGCTGAGTTCTATGAAGTTGTTCTAATGAAATACTAATCTTGAGGGGGTCATGGGAATCCTTAAATTTGTAGCTAGTTGGTCAGAAGTGTGGTGGTCTGGAACCCCACCTGAGGCCTCATCTGATGTAGGGGCAGTTTTGTGGAGAACTGAGCCCTTAACTTGTGGCAGCTGATCTAACACGAAGTAGCTGGTGTCACAATTGAACAGCTGGTGTCAGAATACGGTACAAATCCCGAAAACTTGAATATATCATTCTATGATTAGATCTGATAATACATTTCATATTCCTAAACTAACAAAAGGACTTTACATCTAAAAAAGCATTAAAGCAATTTTTACATTTTTCTGGTTTTCAGAAGATTATTTTATCTTTCCCCTTTTATTGGCCCTTATCTTTTACCTTTACATCTCTACCAATAATAATGATAATAAATGATCATCCTGCAGTTTCTAATTTTATATACACACAACCAAGGAAGACTTTCGAGAGACTACAGAATTATAGTCCTGTCCAAGTCTGGTATTTATCCATAGGAGTGTGTATACCTCCTATGTTAGGAGGAACAAGTATACAAGTTTTGAAACCATATCAGGGATAATCAAGATTCACACACTTTAGATAGAAAGGTGAATAAGATTTCTTAACAAACTGCTAAGAAGCATTTCTCTCATTTTCCAGTCAACTATCCCTCACCAAACTGGACACATATCCTCAAATAAAAAAAAGTAGGACAGGGAGAGCAATTGAGAAAGACAAGGCGAGCGATGAGGAGGGAAGGAAATCAGAAGCAGCTCTGCAGCCTGACTACAAATCACTGTCCAAAGGGAAGAGGGAGTCGAAAGCAAGAAGAAAAGGAGAATGTCCTGAGAATTACAAAGAGCATTAAGTATAGCATGTACTTCTCTACAATTATTCAAGGAATGCAGGAAAAGAAAGATGACCGAGGGCTGAGCCCATGTGTGCCATGAGTACTTCACTGCTCGCTGAAGGACAACCATTCGTTTCTAGAAAATGAGATTCTGAAATCCATGGAGGCAAAAATGTACCGAGAGATGCTTGCTAAATCAAGGATATATGCTTTTCTCTGCCAGCCATAAGGTATTTTTGAGGTAGAGAAGTGAAAGGATCTTCTGAGACAAAGAAGAGAAGTACTTTTTCTGAAGATGCTGCAGCTCATCTGCTGACCTCTGCTGGATCAACAGTGGCATCCAGTGGCCAAAAGTCTCAGCACAGACTTCTTTGTCTTCAGGAAGGGTTTCTAATGCTTTGGGTGAAGTGGCAATTCAGAACAAAGCCATTTCTGGTGTCTATAACTAAGGATCCCCAAAGACACAGTACTTTGTAATATAAAGTGAAGAACCAAAGGCCATAAAGAAGAAATGGAGGGGGGCAGCTTAAGATTGGCTGTGGTATTTATATTTCCTGTGGTATTACTAGAAAGAATGAAAATACAAAAGGGGAATGAACATATGTGTGGGCGGAATTCCTAGATTTTCACTGCCTCAGAATAGTTGAGAAATAAATGAGCATACAAGATAAACTATTTTCATTTTAAAACCAAAGTAATACTGAAACAAATTTTCATATGTGCATTTTATTTTATTTTTTAACAGGGCTTAGGAAGGGGACGATAATGGAATTAGTACGGCTTAATTAATTTACTTGAATGTAAGTTTGCTTCTTAAGGTGATTTTTAAAAACTGATGGAGTTTCAACTGCTAAATTCAGGTGTCTGTTTTTAGGCAGATAATGAAATTGGATCAGGTATACCTTAGCCCATAGCAAACATACTGAAAAGAAAAGCATTCCACCCAAGATATTTCTATGTTCTAAATATTCACTTACACTATTAAAAAACTGATTTTCTGGCAAAGTTTTAGCAAGTAAAATGCTAGTAAATTCTAACTTAAAAAAAAGAAGAGCTATGTTTCCTCAGTGACATAACACAAGCAAAACTGAATGGAGTAATCCTAAACTTTTATCTTAATTAGGCCATGCTGTCTCTCTCCAAGTCAAGGATTCAAAAAAAGAAGCGCACCAAGAGACTCTTCTCTCATCATTTAAATTTGTTCATGTTCTGCTCTACATTTCTAGCTTTAAAAAAACATGGAATTATCATACGCATTACTCCCCTTCATTCTCCTGATAGAGCTCTGGCTGGCTCAGGTGCAGATACCAGCTCAAACTCACCTGTTTGGATGAGATGTGGGCAGCATGAACTGGAATTCCACCACGCAGGTGTTGTCCTTAAGCTGGCGGTGTTGTACACTGTTAAGTTCATAGGCAATATAAGCCCTTCGAACATACACCTGGTGAAAAAGTAATCCTCAGTAAATACACTTTAAAAACAGGAGCTAAGAGGCGCCGGCCGAGTGGCGCGATGGTTAAAAGCTGGCTTGGGACGCCAGAGGGCCCAGGTTCGGATCCCACATATGAGGGCCAGTGACACTGCCCTCTACAGCTGAGATGCTGAACAACAGCTCAACCTGGAGCTGGGCTGCTGTGAGTCGCCAGCGATGGCGTAGGCTGCAGCCCCTGTGGCAGTGGGTTGCCATGGGCTACCGTATGTAGCCAGCAGCCAGCGTGAGCGGCCAGCAGCCGCAGTGAGCGGCCGTCCAGAAGCCGGCGACTGATCTGCCTCACCCGGGAAGAGCGCAATGATGGTGCCAACTTGGGCCAGTGAAGCAACGTCCTCCACAACTAGACTGAAGAACAAAACGACAGCAACTTGTCTGTTCCCCTTCCCCCAATTCCCCAGCACTGTTCCCATCCCCCCAATTCCCCAATAAAAATCTTAAAAAAAACACAAAAAACAGGAGCTAAGAGACGGTTAGCCCAGGAAAAAAGACAGTCTTGAAAAGAAGTATCTAATGCAAAAATAGGGAATCTGTGGTGACCGAAGTCCCAAGGCTCTATACAAAAATACTTGCTTTAATTAATAAAGCTGGAATTTTGAAACTATACCCATGACTATAAAGGGAAACAAAACTAGCCTGCCTCTGCTGGACGCCTGTAGGGGTGCCATAAACCTTGCACACCAACCTAAACTCAGGAAAAGGTTTGATCTTTAGCAAAAGAGAGCATATAGAACCATGACTATTAACTCATTAAGCATGATCATTTCAACAGAATATAAAAGCAAGCAGTGAGAAAAATGAAAGGTGCTGATTTTGGGCCACTTGAGAAGTGAAGATAGAAATAACTGCAGTACAGGTCAACCCTTTTAACTATGTCTTGTACTTTTATCTCGTTTTGTTTTGTGTTCCCATTGTCCCAAATCAGTTTTAGATTATGTCTCTCCCTCCAACACCAGGCAAAAGCAGTAAGGCACAATTTGACATACAATATCTCAAACACACTAACTTGACTCAAGAGTTAAAAGAAACAGCAACAGGCTACATCTCAGCAAAAACCATCAGTCCAGCCTTATGTACTTCACAGCCAATTTGCCATGCACATAAAATGCTACGTGGGATTCTATCAGCATGTGAGGTGTAAAGGAGACTGCTCATTAAATGACATGAAAGCACTGTAAAATACTCAGATATTTTTAAAATTTGATCTTTACTGAGTATGATATACTCTACCCACAGAATACAAATAACGAGTAACTCAAAAGAGCTCGCAACAGACTATAGTGATGTCATAGCACGTAAAATCATCTAAAACAATCCTTTTCCCTCATCTTAAAAAAACATGTCCTTGGCAATTTTACAGCAGCAATTTTTGTGCCTAATGAAGTAGTGTGCCGTAGTGCAAACAGAAAAGTCTGTGAGTTAGATTGACCTGGGTGCGAAGGCAAACTCTCCCACTTATTATCTATGTGCATTTGGACAAGTCACTTAACCTCTCAGAGTCTCACTTTCTTCTTACTTCATGAAGTAATTGTAGGATTAAATGAGAAAAATAAAGTCAAGCACTGAAAACGCAGTTCATTAAATGTTACTACTTTTTTTCTCATGATGAAATATTTCATAAGAGATGTTTGGCAATTCAGAATATAACTAAAATCCATGTTATTTGGCCCAAATCACAAAATGGAACATGTTCTGATCAGTCAGATCAGTAATACCCACTTGGGGTGTTACAGGGAATCCTAATTCATTATGAAATGAAAGAATCAAATATACCTGGAAAGTAGAGACTACTGAAAAATGCTGGCAGTTATTTTCCTGTGACTGGAAACCAGAAGCTGGTGGTTAGCTCAGCTGAAACACTTGGGTAAAGCCAGACCACAGTTCAGCATTAGTTTCAGAGGAAAAGAAGATGCTACTCTTAAGAACCAACCTTAAGGCCAAAGAAAAAGGATTGATGCGATAGCCAAATGGACAGAAGAAATCAGCTAGAAATCAAGAAAAAGGTTACATCATGTGACGTTACTATGGAAACTTACCTCCAGAGCTGCCATCCTCACCACCTGGTTGCTGTGATAGAAGAAGTTGGGTAGGACATCAAAAATAGATGTTTCGGACAAGATGAGTTTCTGGAAGGTACAATGTGAACCATTACATCCAAAAGAGAACAATTTCAATTTGAAATTAGGATTTGAAGCATCTAGTGAAACTTAAGAATTTTGTCTATGAATGTCATGCATGAATTTACCTTCTCTGTGCCTCAGCTTCCTCAAGCTACTCAATGAGGAAAATAATACATATCCTCATAGGGCTTTTATGAGCATTAGAAGATTTAATATATGTATAATTCTTGGAATAATGCATTAACAATGCATTAATTATATGTTAATATAAGTGTTTATGACTAGTATTATCATCCTTTCTAACATTTATCTGTACTCAACTTCCTAAATATTGTCTCAATATTCCACTATGGTAAGCCACAGACTTGAGCCCCAATGAAACCTTCTATTTCAACTATGAACCAAAAAAACAAAACATCCTTCTCCCTAATCTAGGTTCCCCAGAAGGAAATCTGACAGAAAGCCTGAAGATCCCCTTAGCTAGCTGTAACAACTGTCCTTTTTTCCAGATCCACAAACAGAAAGTCATTCCTGAGAAAATGATGCTTAAAAAATAACAGTCCGGGTCCCTCCAATTAGTGAAACTAGCCAATACTCTTTTATAAAATTGGTTCTCTATAAAGCTTAATTGTAAGCATTAAAATAAAATTAAAGCACAAGAGGTAAAGACTTCAATAGAACACGTCTATCAAGGCAAGGCCAATTTGATTTTTTAAGCTAAACCACAATTCTAACAGCATTTTTAACGAAAAAAAAATATTCATAAGTATAAATCATTTTAGAAAGTCAAGGTATAAAACTTCATTACACAGAGAATCAAAATTGATTGATTACTTAATTAAACTGTGCGTGGGAATAAAGAGAACAAGTGTGCAGAGAGGTAGGAAAGGGTTGTAAGTGTACCTGCAGGTTCTCAATGCAAAACTGATGTCCGTACATGTCAATGGCTGATAGGAAGATAGACTCTACTTGATTATGGCGAAGCTCATATGATGGCAAATGGGAGGCAATAAGAACCTAGAGTGAGAGCAAAATAAGAGGCGTAAGTTCCTAAGGGGGTGATTATTCTAGGCTCCTATTAGGCAACTCTGATACAAAAGCAATAAATATAAATCTGTAAGTGCAGGCATCAAAGATAAAACAGAGACCAAGTAAAACAACTTCTAGGTCCTGTAACATAAAGCCAATGCCACCAAATACTGCATCTCAGTTGACTCTCCCCATGATTTGCGTTGTGGGCGATTTCCCATGGGGGGAAGGGGGAAGGGAGAGAAAACAGCTTCAATCAAGTTCCATCAGTGCATGTGATTTACTACTGCAAAGCTGCTAGTCCTGGGGACTGCTTGACTAGCTGTTAATTGGGAATCAGGTCTGGCAGGGAGCAGCTGTGGGGAAGGAGGATGCAGCCGAGCTGGCTAGCCTTTTGCAACTCTCAAGTAGAAGCAAGACCAGGGAAAGCGGCCCTGACAGCCCCAGGTACTCAGTATCAAGGTCTGGATGTAACACCAACGCATGTGAGGGGCAGGGAGCGTGGAAGCACCGTCACAAACAAGCGGGGACACGGCAGGACCTGAATCCTCTCAGCAGGTCACCGAGAGGTTCAATAACTTTGAGTAGTTCAGTGACATGGATACAATTGTAGAGAAAGCAAGAAGGTCACTGAGCAGCTTCAAATGCGGCTTCCTGGTCGATGCCCTGCACCAGAACACAAAGGGAGCGCCAACTCTAGGCTTCCTTGCGGAAACCTTTTGTAATGGAAATGTAGACGGCAGGGGGAAACCGGACTTCTCTGGGGTTGTTCTGATCGCTAGCACCTAAGATTCATTTCATTATCTTTTATCTTTCGGCTTTCCACACTTGATTCCCACCCCCCCCCATACACTTAGAAGTTTTCACCTGCTTCTCAGCTCCCTTTGGGAAGTAAGAAATATTGATTCTACTGCCTTCCCTCAGTTTCCTTTCCTCCACATGACCCTGGTTTACTATCACAGAAAGGGTAGGGAATGATAACAGGATTTTATAATGGGCAAAGGGCTCCTATTTTAGAGACTCGAACATTGAGTTTTCTTTTCTTTTAAAAAAACATATGCCACATGAAAACATTTGTTCTGAGGGTAGTGAGACATACATAGAAAATTGCATCTCTGTAAGGTGACAGAGTACAAAGCTCATTGCCTGATCTACGAAAACCATTTCTCTTTTAGGATAACCGACACATGTCCTTGCTTACCTGGCGTGCTCGAAGTGCCACTTTAGCGTTGGTGGTCTTGCTGAGCTGAGTGAGCTCTGTGAGAATATTTAGCAGCTCATCTGTGAGAGTAGGGTCCCGGCCACACAGCTGATCCTAATTGTTAAGGTGAAAAAGAACATATACACCCACATTAAAAGGAACTGAGGTGGTTGGGACTTTGAAATGGGAAAAGGGAATAAAAACAAAGTAAACATAGCTGGATTAATAAGATAACACAAACTTTCTATTTCTTTTTTCTTTTTTAATCCCAAACAATGTGGTAAACAAAATCCTAGAGGAAGTTGCTGCTAGAAGAAGCCAAAATCCCTCATTCAGATTCAAAATTCCTAATGTATTTCTTCATACATCAATATTATACTTTTAACATGCAGAAGAAATCATCAGAGACATTTTTAAAAGGGGTCAAAGGATTCTGAGTAAGAAATAACAGATGATGGTTTAAGAGGTTTTAAATAATATAGGGACGAAAGACTTTCCTGTTCCCTCTCCCACTTTTGGAAAGAAGGCAGAATAAAGCAAAAGGAACCACTCCTGGTGGTTTTCATTCCTCAAACAAATGTTCAGCATCCCAGGAGGGTACAAAACAGAAACACAAGAACAAATTATTCATTTATAAACACACACTAAATAAAAATACCATCTCATATTCTGACAATTCTGTACCCAAAATCATTTATCCTCTTGCAGTACCAAGAATCATCCCACAATATCTAAACATGGTAAATCCTTAGATGGATTAGAGGGGAAAAAACACAGCTCTTACAATACAACCCGTGGTTTATTCAGTATTGGGTCCTTCCTCTCCTAAACATTAAAAATTATTAAGAAAAAAATCTCTATCATATTTTGAGGAAAATATTTCTTCTCCAGTGGAATGTCAGTTTATTCCCTAAATTCATCCATTATCCATGCAATTTTTATCTAAGCTGAAAAAAATCACAGATGCAGTTTTTATAAAGGCCTTTTTGGAAATTTACAGCTATTTGTAGTAGTAGTTCTTAATACCACACCACGTAAAATATACACGCTTAGGTATAGTTCCCTCTACTTGGACTTTGAAATAATTGCCTTTATATGTTAGTGCATTTTTATTCTCCCTTACTAACAAAAGGACACAAAAGATGACCAGATCCCAAAAGACTTCCTGTTGCTGCTTTTCAATATTCTCCTTACCTTGATTATGAGCCCTTTTCTTGAAGAATCTCCATTTCATACTTAACCTTCCCCATCTCAGGGATACTCCTTATAGTTCATGACCACAGCAGTATAAATAAAAACTTGGGGCTTTTGGAGTATATATGCATTTCCCAAAACACTTTTTCTACAACCCCTACTACTTTCCACATCACAATGTAGATAGCTTTGGAGTACACAACATCATTATGCTACGGAAAAAAGTCTTCTAAAAGATTTTAAAGCAGGACATATTTTCTGGTTCCCCAATCTACCAACCAAAGGTCTGCTCCAACTGTCCAGAGTCATAAAACACATGATGGGATTTATAGTTAAGAAAGTGCAAGTATGTATTGTTTTCACCTATTTAACACAGGGAATTCACTCATCTGAGTGGGAAGAACAGCTGCTATTAAAATGACTTTAAGTCTAGGGTTCAGCTAAGCATATAGTCACAGGCTAGAGGGTCTATTCCACCTATCCTATGGCGTAAAAGCAAAGATGAGGGAGAAAATGCAATTAAGTCTCATCTTGTTGAGAATGAAGGAACAAAACAGAATTTCAAGGAAGATATATATAATTACCAAGACAAGACCATAAAAAGACAGATGGAAAAAAGATAACAGTGGGTAGGGAAACCAAGGTAAGTTTTTCCTACCTAACTCCCTCTTTACCTAAGGTTTCTAGTAGAGGAAATATATTCCTTTCTGAGGTATTTACTTCCATCATCAGAATGACCCACTGAAAGATCTAAACACCTTTTAAGGTGTCCTGGGTAGTACTATTCTGTAAATAGCCAGACTGAAGTTTCAACATTAACAACAAAAGCCAACATAACAAATAAGAACACAGCCACCTACCCAACCTGTCAGATTCGATATGGAATGTCTTCCCTTAAAAGGAAATCCAGGCTTATCTTTTGAGATTAAACTAAAACAAATAAGTAAAACTATAGATCATATATAGTTAAAAAAACAAAATGCACAAAACCACTTTTAAAAAAACCACTTCTGCATTTCATTTTATAACTATGAGGGAAAAGGGGTTGGGGAAAAGAAACAGTAAGTGTAAGAAAAGTGAACAATGGAGGTTAGAAAACATAGCAGGAAGTAATTATTTTGTTCACGATCACCAAATGACAATCTGACTGAGCTCCTTGTGATTAAGTAGAAAACCAGACCTCTCTGGGATACGAAATATCAAATACAGTATGCATGAACAACTACTTCCATTAGTTTGTCCTGACTTCAAAATTTTCCATTCAAATATTATTTTCTCCATTGCCATCATTAATACTTAGAAAATGATTAGCAATGGACAATTTTGTGTAGAGTAACCTCAATCCTCTCTTGTCCTTGACCTAGACACAGTGTTCAAGTTCTCAAAGAAACCACCAGGGAAGAAAGGCCATTTTGTTCATCAGAACCACCCATCCCAAGATACAAACATCCAGAAGGAAGTTTAATCCTGGTGAACATTTTGTAACAATGACATTAAATGGTGACTATGTCAGCAGATATTTTCTCAAAATAAAGAGGTTCATTTAATGAACCTACCCCACTGATTTTGGGATTACAGGTCACTTGCATAAATCTGCAGGCCTAAGTGAAAATTATTATTCAGTAATGGTTAAGACTGGTACTACACAGAGGCTGGCTGAGTGGCTTGTGGGTTAAGAGTTGGCTTGGGAGCGTGAACTCTGAGCAGCAGGGCCGCCGGTTCGAATCCCACATGGGCCAGTGACGCTACACCCTCTACAGCTAAGATTGTGAGCAACAGCTTGACCTGGAGCTGGACTGCCGTGAGTCACCTGCAGTGGGCTGCCGTAAGCTATCATGAGTGAGCTGCCATGAGCCGCCGTGAGCAACCGATTTGCCTCGGCCGGGAAGAGCGTAATGATCACAATACCAACATGGGCCAGTGAAGCGACGTCCTCCACAACTAGACTGAACAACAAAAGGACAGCAACTTGTCTGTTCCCCTTCCCTGATTCTCCAATGCTGTTCCCTCCTCCAATTCCCCAATAAAATCTTATAAGAAAAAAAAAAAGATTGGTACTACCCAGTTATTTCTTGTTTTTATTCTTAACCTTGGCTAACAAGCAGGGAATATTTCAGATTTGAAGAAATATAACAAACCTGCTTACGCATCAAAACCATAACCAAAGTTATAAAGCTGACTGCCAGAAGAACCAAATAAAGTTCAACTTGATCTTAGCATCCTAAGTTCTGAAGGCAATTCAAAATGAAAAGAATGTGACCTAATGTGTTCAAGACATTAACAAGTGTTCAGGTGGGTGAGGTGCTAATCCCAATACCAGCAATGGATCGGTAGCTTCTTCTAGTCACAATTGGACTTTTTTGACATTCCAAGGATGTCATGAGGCATATTTCACAAGAAACTGTTAATATCACACTTACTCTCTAAACTGGGTTCACTGAGAAATACTTTCTTCTTTACTTACACATTGGACAAAATTATCTACTGTCATGTTAAGCGGAGGACAGAAAGGCACTGATTGGCATCTTCAATGCTCCCTGTCCAAACCAAACCAGAGGCTCATAGGCATGGCATTACTCATAAGGAAGCATGTTGATATCATGTTCACGTGGACCATGCCAGGAATAAACTAAGTAGTGAGGGGACAACTACTCAAATCAAGGTGGCTGTAGGATATGCACTTGGCTATCTAAACAGCCCTGAGGATGTTGGTACTTTTTATTGGTACCAAGTAGCTTCGTTTGGCCAAAGAGTCTCTTAAATATCTCTAAGCAAACATAAACAATGTTCTAAGATCTTCCCTAGAAAATTAAATGTAAGAAAGAAGAGGGCCAGCCGAGTGGCGCATTGGTTAAGAGCTGACTTGGGACGCCAGCTCTGAGCAGCAGGGCCCCAATTTGGATCCCACATGAGGGCAAGTGACGCTGTGCCCTCTACAGCTAAGATGGTGAACAACAGCTCGACCTGAAGCTGGGCTGCCGTGAGTTGCCGGCGACAGCATAGGCTGCAGCCCTTGCTGCAGTGGGCTGCCATAAACTACCATGTGTGTGGCCGGCAGCCAGCGATTGGCCGGCAGCCGGTGTGAGCTGCCAAGAGCCGCCGTGAGCGGCTGTCCAGAGGCCGGCGACTGATCTGCCTCATCCGGAAAGAGCACAATGATAATACCAACATGGGCCAGTGAAGCAACGTCCTCCACAACTAGACTGAAAAACAAAAGGACAGCAACTTGTCTGTTTCCCTTCCCCCGATTCCCCAGCACTGTTCCCCTCACCCAATTCCCCAATAAAATCTTAAAAAAAAAAAAAACGTAAGAGAAGAGCTTTCAAAAAATAAACTTAACTGCTAGTCTTCCAGGCTGTTTTCAACTGTGGCACAAGATTCCTCCAAATGGAGAAAACTTGACAGGGCTTTAGCATTTTACTTGATATTTTGCTTCCCAGATAGGGTGGGTGAAAGATGAGAAGAAATTTGCTGGAGAGTTCTTGAAGCAAGTTACCACTAGGAAAGTTATGCTAATACCTGGAGGGTACCAGGGTTCCTTGGGGCAGCCCACATTCCATACCATTGATTCATGGAAGCCTGATTTTCTTGATCCCTCCCTCTAGGTTCAAAAGCCCCAGAAATCATATCTAGCTCAGCAAAGCACACCATCCACATTCCTACTTCTAGAAAGCAGAGATTGGAATGCCGAGCACATCACATCAATCAGGAAGCCAACGTAAGCAAAGAAAAGGAAATGAGCTGAGCGCACAAGCTGGGGGACTCAAATGCTACCATGTCCAGGTGATACCCGTAAAAGATAGTAATACCTCCGGAAAGAGTAATCCAAACAACTAAAATGGCTTTTACCAGCTACCACCATTGATGCAGATGTGGGGTGGGGGTGGGGGATCTAATCATTGCCCAAGAAGGAAACAGGAAGCCCACGTCTGGCATTCAGATCAGAAAGGAGCACATTTTGTGCTTTCATTCCTGCTCTTTAAGTCACTGCTAGCTGGCCCTTAGCTCAATCATATCAATTAACGTCTTGATTTCCAAATCTCTAAATGAGGTGAAAACAGCTGATATTTCAAAAGAAGGTTAATGATATGAAAGCCTACATATCCTACTATGTTTACCGAGTTTTGTTTTGTTTTTTAAAGAAAAATGTGAAATGCCAAAATAAGGAAAAGGACAAATCCATCTTTCTGGTTCACATCTTCAACCTTCTTTCTCCTCCTCCTCCCTCCTCCCCCCCTCCCCATCCTATTCATTCAAACCCAAATGCTAACAAACACCTCTCTTCTCCAAAGAACTCAGCCTGTTGGAAAGAAAGTTTGGGTACTATCCACACAGGTAAGAAGTAATCAGGATGACAAGGTGGGGAAAAAAAGAACAGCAGCAAGTCAGAGTCCCATTGGCTTCTGCCTTCTGCCTGTCCTGACTGGCAAAAGCAGAAAGCAAAGCCTCAAACCAGTTCTCTGACAGGGCCCAACGCCTCTGCAGCACCCCCGTGTAATTACACACTTGAGTGACTGGACTCTGAAGAAAATTGAAGGCCTGAGCTCCGAACAGCTGCCATTTTCTCTCTCCATCACACCAGCGTGATTACTTGAGAAATGAACAGCCCCGGCTCAAAGCTACTCCAGAATTCTCAGAGGAAATATGGCTCCGTGTTCCAATAATGAGATTCTTAAGGCAAGCGTTACTTACAATCACTCCGCAAAAGGAGCGAGCCGAGCCCCTATATCTTACAAATTAGAATTTAAGAAACCCAGCGACAGTCTTGGACGATCATTACTCTTCTGCTGCTCCAAGGATTCTGGGCTTTGGTCTATTTTTAGTGCAGAAAACTGTTAAGTCCTTAAAAAGGTAATCATAATAAAATGAAAACTCACCATAATTAGCTTCCTAAAAAGGCAAATTCTACCCCATTTTAGGGCCAAACTGACAGATTCTTCCACTCCCTCATCATTACCCTTTTCTACCAGAAAGTCTTGGCTTTATACAAATGAGAATTAGCAATCTTTGTATTAAAACTAAAACTACAAAAAAAAAAAAATCAGCCAGTTACCATAGATAACATCACTTCTTTCTCGAATCATGTCATTTGGGGAAATTGAAATATTACACAGTGCTGAGATTTTTTTTTTCCTTTCAAATGCATCTTCTAGCTATTCTAGGGTACCCAAACTGTCCCTGTAATTAGATATTTTAAAAGTGAGGTACTCTAAAAAATGTTATATCCTTGAGAGTTAACCAGCTAAGCAGATAACTGAATGAGGCACTGTTGTTAACCAGAGATGGGAAGTGGATAGTTTCCCTTCATTCTGAACTATGAAATAAAAAATAGCAGTGAAGATTTATAGCTTCTTTCCTCCAAGAAGAAATGATGAGATTAAGGTACCCAAAATGCCAGCCCCACAAAGGGACAAGAAAGGAAACTCTTGGAGCCAAAGGTACTCTAGTACCCCCAAAAAGACACACATGTAAGAACAAGGCATTTATTCATGGGGTGGGGAATTTAAGAACAATCCTATTGTCCTCTGATTCCTAGAATTAACTCAATCATAAAAATCTTGGAGTGAGGAACTTACAAATCATCTTTAAAAATCCTGAAGTCCACCAAAATTCCACCCACTGTTCAAATGTACATTAGTCCTATTCACATCTACTGGTCTCACCTCTCATTCCTACTTTCTACTAATTCTCATATTACTCGGTCATGGGGACCAAAGCATATATCTACTACCAATACAATAACCTGATCTTAGATTTCCACGTAAATAAAACAGAAAGTGACCGACGAAGATGCAAAATAAATTTAAATCTCTTTGGTGGGGGAGGAACGCTATCAGATTTCTAACAGTTGTTTTTGTTCTTCAGTTTTCAATATGACAGCCATTGCAGATATTCATGGAACAAACAAGAGCTATTATGAAAAAGTACACTGGCTGGACTAGACTAAATTTTAAAGATACTGCCATGAGTCACAACAGAAATAAAGAAGCACAGGGCATCTCTAAGTAGAGTCAAGAGCCTAGAGTTCCTGTGCAGGATTCTATGCATAATCGCTAGGACAATCCTTTCCTGCCCCGCAAGCAGGTTCGTCCAGGTCAAGGACAAAGGCAGATGTGAGAAATTGCTAATCCACAACCCAAGCCCCACTCATCCCACATTTATAAAAGCCAGGAGCTTTTCCTCTGACCACAGCCATCAGAAAGGCTTTTTTCATATCATCCACCATCCTTATAGGCTCTGAAAGATTGTACTCACAATCAGCATTGTGACCAGAAGGTTCTTCTTGGTGACTTGAGCATGAGAGAAGATGTAGTTCAGTACCGTGTTCATGTCGCTCTTGTTCTCCTCCCGAAGTGAGAACACACATTTGTCATAATGACCTGCAAGCAGCAAAAAGAATTGGTCCTCATCCATGTATGGATGTTCATGTTTACATGCTATTTGGTTTTTAATGTCCATACTTCACCTGAGAAGCAGTGAGAAGAAACAACTTAAGAGTTTTCTTGGAGAGATTTGTCCAGAACAGCAATGTAATTTAGAAACAGGAACGTTGGACTAGGAGTTAGGCCATCTGCTTATAAGATGGGCTCAAAGCCTAACTCTACTGCCAATTTACTACGAGCTCCTGGGCAAATCACCTTATCTCTCTGAGCCTCATTTTCATTCAAAGTATAGAGAGGCCGGGGGAGGGTGTGCCTAGACACTGAAGGATTGGGGTAACTCCAACTCTCCATCCTTACTCTAAACTCTCTCTCGTTTAGCTTCCTGGAATGATTTCCTTAGAAGAGAGGGTCCCGCTGCTTAAAAAGAAATGTCAAAACCATCTTTAAAGCCTATTCCAGCTTGAGATTCTGGTTCCATGTCTGACTCGCTGAAAATGTTTCACTCTAACTAGTAGGAACAATTTTAGCTCAAAAATAAAACGACACAAACTTATCAATATCCATGAGAAGGATGGCTGCTACCTCTGGAATCAACATTTTCCGCTGTAAGTCCATGAAACAGCAAAGAAATGCCGAGGAATTCCAAATCCAAACTAAGGCATAGATCAAGGAGAACCTGCATTAAGTCAAAAGGTCTGCAGGGAGAGTACAGTTATGTATATTTTCACTGGCCTTTCCCAAGGCCACCGGGGACAGGTTAGTTCTGGCTAGGAGAGCTATGTTTTGCAACAGAAGCATAAGCTTCCAGGTACATTGTAGTGATATCTACCATGGGATATAAGTAATAGTCACTTCTTTAGGAAACAGCTTACCTCAGAATTAAATTTCCAAGTAAAGGAGAATTAGTGTTTGAGTAGTCTCAAGGGTCAGGATTTTATGAAATCATGAAAATACTAAAGGATTATTGCCTCGGTTCAGATTCCATGTTAAGTTACAAAGCAGAACAGTGAAGTTCAAACTGCATTTCCATGGATTCCTAGAATACTGGGTACATTAAACCAGGGCAACTCCGTTTCTACCTGTTTTAAATATTAAAGACTGACATATGATTTTTTTCAAAATCAAACTATATATATTTGAAAACCAGTATAGTACAATATCTAGAGAGCTGCCAATTTCATAAAAGACCCATTTAGAAGAAAATGGAAGCTATTTAAAAATTGACTGTCCTATATAAATAGGCTGTCCTATATAAATAGAAATTATATTCCTCCCAACCAAGATTTAGCTTTAAATGACAACAGAACTATATCTTGGTAATAGGAATTACTAGGACCAGGGGAAATAAAAAGATTATTTACCTAGGGGAGAGGTAGCAGAGACACTAAGCAGAAAGAAAGCAATGATACCAAGTGTGCTCTTCTTAAAAACTTTTTATTGTGAAATATACATACAGAAGAATAAATAAAATAAACACCCATGTAACTACCATCTATCTTACACAGAACATTTTTAGTACCTTTGAAGGATCCTATGTGCTCCTCCTCAGAAACAACTACTAAGCTGAATTTTATATTAATCATTCTTGGGCTTTTCTTTACATTTATCACAAATGTATATATAGTTTCACTTTTCCTGTTTTTCAACTTGATAACAATGGACTCATTGTGTATGGATCCTTCTGTAACTTGTCTCTTTCCCTTAACATTACATTTTTGAGATTCATCCTTTTGTTCACATGGGTACCTGGGTCCATCCATTTTCACTGCCGTATAGTAATCCATTGTGGAAATACACTGTACTAGAATTCAATGATCTACTCTACTTGTGTAAGTTGGATTGTTTCCTGTCTCTTTTTTTGCTATTATGAACAATGCTATGACAAACAGTCCTGTATGTGTTTCCTAATAAATAGGTGTAAGAGTTTCTCTCAGGTACGTTATCTAACAGTGAAACTGCTAGCTTGAAGAGTATACAGAAGTTCAATTCTATTAAGTACTGACAAACCATTTTCCAAAGTGGTTTGCACATTGGAAATTTGTACTTGCACTTATAGAAGCAGTGGAAGAAAATGATGTGACCTTAATTCTTTCCCGTCTCACTGCAGTTTTGGCTCACATTTCTCTAATTGGTAATGAGATTGAACATCTTTTCATAAGTTTGTGGATCATTTGTGTTTCCCCTTCTGTGAACTATCTTTTTATATCTCTTACCCATTTTTCGATTAGGTTGTCTTTTACTTATTGATTTATAGCAGTTCTCTAGATTCTAGATACTGATCCCGTTAGATATGTTTTAAAAATATCTTCTCTGGGCCAGCCGAGTGGCACGATGGTTAAGAACTGGCTTGGGACGCCAGAGGGCCCCGGTTCGGATCCCACCTATGAGGGCCAGTGACACTGCCCTCCATAGCTAAGATGCTGAACAACCTGGAGCTGGGCTGCCATGAGTCACCAACGATGGCGTAGGCTGCAGCCCCTGTGGCAG